TCAAAAACCTCCTCGATCAGTTTTTTGCCAGCAAAGACCAAAAATTTTATGAGCGTGGAATTATGCTACTACCAGAAAGATGGCAAAAGGTGTTGGACCAGAACGGTCAATATATAATTTAATAAAGTATTTGTTTATTATACGAAAACTGTCTTTCATTTCCACAAAAAAAAAACGAAATGACTTTCCGAACAACCCTATAAAAATAAACTTGTGGGTTCGTTTATTTTACTTTACAGCCCCAATTACCCAGCACAGACTACTGGTTCTTGTGGTAGAGATAGTTTAGAATTTCATGGGCCATGATCTTGGGTTGCGCAGTTACAAAACTCCACCTGTTCATAGTTTCTGTTTCTCACTAAAAGCGTATTTGTCGTCGTTCACATGATTAAGAGTCACTGTTTTTAAATTGTACAAAATGAATGCAATTAGGTCCTTCTATCGTGTATTTCGCAACTCAAGGTATTTCATCACCTGCCTCCAATCTCCCATCGAACATTATGATGGTTACGTGTTGATAGCTGTGGTGATGTAGGAGATATGATGATTTTGGTAATATTTCAACCAGTGTTCTAAAATATGTTCGAAATTTCTCTAATTCAATTGGTGTGTGGGTCTACGAATCGACCATCGGTCACTAAACATCCAGTTAGAATAATTGATAATGCACTAAAATGTTTTTGATTGCTTTGAGGATAGTCTCAGCTAGAATCATTGCGAATGTATCTTGTATTCCCCTCAGCTAGAATATTCTAGAATGAACTTAGCCAGAAGGATCATCTAGAACGTTCTGAAACGTACAAGGACCTTTATGTGTAAGTGGTAGGGTGGTTATTAAGACTATACGAGGGCAATTTCATATACTTCAGCCAGTGTCCAAAAAGGTTAAAAAATTTCTCCAGTTTAATGAATGTGTGGATCTGCGAGCCGACCATCGGTCACCAAACACTCATTTAGAATAATTGATAACGTACTAAAATATTATTGAATGTTTTTAGGGTATTTCTCAGCTAAAATGTTCTCCAATGTTCCTAGTATTGCACTTAGCTAGAATATTCTAGAATAAACTTAACCGGACAGATCATCTAGAACGATCTGAAATATACGAGGACCATTACGAATAAGTGGTGGGATGACTCTATACAAGTGCATTTTCGTATATTTCAACTAGTGTCTTATATCGTTCAAGGATTCTCCAGGGGTGTATTGGATTTGAGAGCCCACCAAACAATCTTTTTCGAATTTCTAAATTAACCGTTCGCGGGCATAGAAGTGACTTATTTTTATTGAAGGCTACACGACCCTGCGCTATCCTCTGCTTTATATCCCTACTACTCGTTCCGTCCTGATTTTCTAGATACCTAAAATCAACCACTTCTTCTAATTTTTCGTCTCCTATCTTTATATTAGCTCCTTCCCTTCTTTAGAATAAGTGATAATGTAAACCCAACAAAGCAAGTTATTTCCTAAATACCTAAATATCTCCTTTTTTTAACCAAACGCCCCTCTTACAGAAATACCAACCAGAATAATTGATAAACAATCTGGTATTAACGTTAAACCCAATCAACCAAATCTATATATATATAAAAGAAAGTCATGTTAGTTTCACTATTTATAACTCAAGAACGGCTGAACCGATTTGGCTGAAAATTGGTGGGGAGGTAGCTTACAACCAGGAGACGGACATAGGATACTTTTTATCTCGTTCCAGTGGGAGAGAGGAGTGGTGAAGAGGAGTTGCAATGTTTAAATGGAAGTGTCGACAGGTTTACTTGAAATTTTGTCTTAATGGTCTCTCATTTAATTTCTGAAAGACCTATCTCGACATTTTAAAAAATTCAACCCCCAAAGGGGGGGGGGGGTAAAGAGGTGTTGCAATTTTTGTTTGGGACATACTTTATTTGTGGTTGAATTTTCTTGAAACTTGGTATATATGCTATTTGATATTATTAATCAAATGAAAAGAGGTTGCAACGTTTCCATGGGGTATATTTTATTTGTACTCGGATTTACTCGAAGGTTGCTCATTGTTGAAATTAAGCAAATACGTGTTTTGGCAACAACAATCAACCCTTAAGGATGAAATGTTGTTGCTACGTTTGCATTTGAAATCTAAGGTGACGACATTACATAAAATTAAAACGTTGTAAGGGTGAATTGGGAGTTTAAAAGGTTTTATGGAGAAACAATATTAATTTCTGCGAGCGAAGCCGCCGAGAAAAGCTAGTTAAAACTAAAATCCAAGGCATTTCAACGAAAAAAGTAGTATGCAGGGCAACGGACACCTACCGAAGTCAAATGCGGGAAGTTTCTTTTGTACCAACCCTATTAAAACCGGAAAACAATACCGTACAAATAATAATAAAAGATATTTAATTAGCCTTAAATGAAACCAAAAATCTTAAATTTATTTATTTAGTCACTACAATTAGCATTTAATACAAAGGAAAATTAATATTTTTTTATTCAGTTAATGGATAGGTTTCTAAAGCAAATATCACAATTACATTATTTCATGCTTATACAACTAAGCAGAAAGTAACAATTACTTCAACTTACATACATGTTTAAATAAGTTTATGATTTATACTGCTTAGGCTTAATATTAAAATAAAAAAATTGAATAACTGAAAAAAGTAAAAAATTAAAAATGCAAATTTCAGACAGTTACACAGCCAAAAGAAACTGTTAAGAAAAAACGTTGAACTGTCTGAGGAAAAACAAATGAACTTAAAAATACATAAGACAAAGATCTAGGTAAGTCAGTAAACTTGAATTAGAAGAGATAATAAATTAATTGATTTAGGTAATTGACTTATTGGCTTCAAGCATAAAATATACATCAAAGCCTTTCTAATTACATGCGTGAGTCAAACAAAGTACGAGAAANTCTTTGTAACTCATCCCTACATTTTTAAGTATATTTAACATCTTGTCCCATTTGACATTGTCAAAAGCTTTTTCTAAATCTACAAATCCTATGTACGCAGTCTTTCCTTTTTCTATCGTTTTCTCTATACGATTTACCAAATGTAACAAGAAAATCGAGATTTCGAAACAATTGTAGCGTAATAAAGCCTAATATGTAGCTGAGGTCTTAGCTTTTGGTGTGTTAAAAGACACGAAACCGTTCTTTGTTATTTCCCGAAATTGGAAAACCGTATGCAATCTGTACTAAATAGCCTGCGACAAATATAAAAATCTGACTATGATGAAAATGCTCGAATGAACGAATTCTCTTGTTTCAGAGGTTACTATAATTCCCACTTATGACACCGATGTACTGGGTTACTGGGCAGCAGAGAACGAAGAGCTTTTGGCCAAGCACAAAATCGACTTTTCGCCGTCGGCGAGCCGGTGTACTATCAATCTTCAGGATCACGAAACGTCGTGCTCCGCTTACCGTTTAGAATTCTCGTAATTTGTCAGCTAAACAAGTCCCTAGCAATAATAATTTATTCAACTTAGGTTGCACACCCGATAAACAACATACAAAAACTAATATATATATAAATAACAGACATTCTCTACGTCCATTTTTGTGTAATTAATTATGAAATAGCATCTTCCAATATACACAGCAACAAAAATAGAAACATAAAAAATATATCTAACCTATAAATTGACGGTGACGATGGGTGATGATATATATATATATATATATATACAAAAGTAACCATAACAAAA